ACTTCGCGGTAGTGTACGATGCAAAAGTTTGTGCGGATTGCAAAAATGTCAGTTCCGCCCTGGGCCCTGCGTAGTGGGTCCGACCGCTTTAAACGCGGAGTGTTCTTATTGTTCGCGCAGTCTTGGGGACCAAAACGCTTGTGCGATTAGATCGTGAAGTATGAACGTGCTCTAAACGCCACGTCTCAGTCTTACAGAGCAGGAACTGACGCTCTGTGGCCCTACCCTCATCTACGATTGCATCGACGAAAGGTGGAGTGCTCATCCTCTTTCGGTCCCTTTGAGATGCGCCATGTAATGCATTTTCATACAGTATTGTGGAAGAATTTGAAAGGGTCTTTAGCTTTCAGAGTGAACTCGTGTGAACCACTGAAACTTGAGGACACATTTACAGTCTTACTCCCTACGCGTGTCGGGGCGTGACCGGGAAGGGGGGGGGGGGGAGAGGGCTGGGTTTGGTGCCCCCTTCTCCACCAATAGAAGCGGGCAAGCGGCAACTGGTGGAAAACATAGGTATAGCCTAGTTTTGAGTTACGGCCCACTTGGAAGAAAATGAAGGCTAATATTAGTCCACCAGCAGTAAACCCAAGCAGATTGCCGAAAGGCCATAAAATCATTTGAGCTAAATTGCTTGTTGTTGCTTATCCTACCATCATAATTACAAGTCTCTTTTCCCTTCCGTTCGAGGAGCAGATTCCTATGGAGGTGAGAGGCGCGGGGGGGGGGGGGGGGGGAAGTTTATTCCAATGAGTGGCAACGTACTCATGGAGGGCATTGTTCCTCGTTCCTCTCAATTAGTTTTCAAATGTGCCTTTAAGTCTGTATTCTCTCTATAGTCCACATCACGGCGCTTGAAGAGGGCGTACTCGCGGGCTCAGTTGTGAGTGCGGTGGACGTTGCGCATCTCAGAATATGGCCGTGTGCGGCACAGACAGAAGTGCGCACAGTGCAGGCACAAAACACTGAAGAACTCGGCCTCCGAGGCGCATTTGCCCTGAACTAGCAACATCCTACAAATACGCAGCCGCCGCCGCGCTCGCAACTGACTCAGCGGACGCAGCCTGTCTACTCGCTGTGATATGGTCTGTACTTACCCATTTGTAATTGTGAAATGTTCTCCCCTTCAGGCCTGGGACCGAATGGAGCGCTGAAGTACTGCATGAACACATTATGCCGAAACCGGGAGTGGCTGCTACAGAAGATACTCGATAATAAAGATAAGTACATCATCATTGATTGTCCTGGGCAACTTGAACTGTACAAAAGCGAAGGTGAACTGTGGAAGGTGAGTATTTACAGGAAACGTTTTTTTTAATCAGCTCGAAGTTGGTCTCGTTTCTTAGCTAAT